TTGTTTTCGGGTCTCCAATTATCTCTTGAGCAATTGATCTTCTACTTTTGTAAATATTCTATAAATATTCCAAATTACTCTTGAAATTATTATGAATTAACCGATTAAATAAATTAAAAAAGAAGAAAGAGAGAGAGAGAGAGAGAGAGAAACTCAATTATTCAACATCAAATAATCTAATTTTTAAAATCGGGGATTAATTTGCAAAGCTGCCACAAACGGAATCTCGAATCCCGAGTTCAGTTCCCGTTGTCTTTGACACGTAACAGACCCGTCTAAGAATCCCTCGAAGACGAAGGGCACGTGCATGGTCGAAAGCAGTGCGCGGCCAAGCGAGACGAAGGGGAGACCGAAGAGAGGAGAGAGAGGAGAGAGAGAGCGCATAGTGCGCTCGCATGACGTCGCGTCGCGTAATCGTGCTTACAAGTTCGCCGACTACACGGCGCGGCATGGCGCAAGGCGAAAAGGGACGGAGAAGGAACATGAACGCTCGCCGTCGACGAAGCGTGTCCTAGGTCTTGGCCGCACGCAGCTGGGGGAGAGGAACCATCTCGACCGGTGCCGCCCTTCCCGCCGTACGATGAATCACGAGAGTCTTCGTTACGCAGGTGAGAGTCGTTTGTGTGTACACATATATCGTTCCATCGCGCAGGCGTGCGCCAAGAGCGGAACTCGAAGCGGAAATCGAGGCGTCGGGGCCGGTATTTCCCGAGTTGACGTCAAGACCTCACGGCCTAGGGCGCTTGGTACTCCTCAAAAAAGAAACCGATATATTTCCGTCCGCTCGTCTATCCGGGTGGTGTTCACGTGCCATCCGAAATAAGCGTCCGCGTCGTTCTATCGAGACAAACGCTTTTCAAATCGCTCGGGTTTTGACCCCTTGCCCCCTCTCCGATCTCATACCCACGCGGTGTTTTGCGTGCACGCGCGGGGGGAAAAAGCTGGAGAACGCGACGCGCTTGCACCGGTACCGCCCCCCGGTACCTCCGCGTTCCCCTCGGGACTAGTGACGTCGGGTGACGTCATAGTAGACGCCAGTTCCCGGGACAAGCGATCGATCCTGGTCATCGTGTACGACCATCACCACCACCATATACCATTGGAATGACCATAAGAAGAGATGCGTTTACGCGGCTACGCGAAATTGCGAAGTTGAACGGGTTAGATCCTCGAATCGGATTTCCAAATATTCGGAAGGACCAGATCACGAGACTTGTTTGGTTCAAGGTCCAATTAGACTATTAAAGACCGTCTGTTTTACAGAAGCTTGCGTGACCAACAGCATTCAGATAGTTCGCGATGTTAATTTTGTGATCTATGTCTATTATTATCCACACTTTTCATAGATGCATATACATGTTTGCGATGAAATGAATATTGATTTTGTGAAATCAGCATTCATGCGGGTGATAAAAAAATACCATTGCGCGTAGTATCATTGTGTCACTATCTACTTTTATCTGTAAAACATCTGGGTAAATGAATTTGATATTGAACTTGCGATGCTCATTCAGAAGTCATATGATGGTTGAAATAGGCATTTCTGGTCTCTTTAATTACTTTGCCAAAGTCACGGAATTTATCTTATTAATTATATTCATAAATATTTTTAAAGTTTTTAACAGTCACTAAAGTCATTGATGAATTTTACAATTACGAGAATGATAAGGCAGACAAGAATGATAGACAGATGTCAATTAGGTAAATTATATTAAGACTTGAATATAAAAGATGAATAAATAATACATACTTGCAAACATACATATACAAATAGCGCTTTGTTTTTAATTGTCGAAAAGAAAATGAAACCATAACTAAAATCTACTTCGGAGAATAAAATTAGATCTCGGTTGGAACGTCGATTGGGTCTAAAACACTATTCTTCGCGTGTCACGTGCGCCCGCCGTATCGAGGAACGGCGGGCTAAATTTATATAGCTGTGGATCGCCTCGTGCGTACGTGGAACCACGAAGACCCGCCGAAACGCTCCAAATATATGGGAACGGGATCGTCGGGACAGACGGGAGGACGGACGGACGAGATGAGAGAAAGCTCGCGGGGAGAGGGTTAGAGGCACGAGGTCGGTCGGCTGGAGGTAGCGCGAGCGTAGGAAGGGAGGGATGACAAATGGCGAGCGGGAACGCGCGAGAGGCGAGGATAAACGGCGGGAGAGGACGCGCTCTCCGCGAGACGGAGAACGAAATCGGTTCAATAAATGCAGCGCGCGCG